TCCACAGTCTCGGACAAGATAATCCACAGTCTCGGACAAGATAATTGACTGACTTGTTGGCAAGAGTTGTTGCTGGAATGGCTTTTGGGAAGATTGTCGGAGAATGGCCTTTGGGAAGAATGTCGTAGATGTACTTTTTGCAGCTTCAAGCTCCTCTTTCTCGGGTGTGGCCAAGCACCAAAGAGCAGAAATGTCGCGTTTTTCAAGTTTCAAATTCGTTTCTGTAGTTTCAAATTAGTTTCAAAATAGTTTCAAAATCCAGTTGCAAAATCGCTGTTAAGGGGAAACTGGATTTTCCTACGTGCGATTCAACAAATGAAGGAATCTCAGAGATTCCTGGTTTTCAAAAAGCGCGGACAGAAATTGCAGTTCCCCCTTAACAGCGATTTTGCAACTGGATTTTGAGACTAATTTGAAACTGACTGGAAACTAATTTGAAACTATGGAAACAATTTGAAACTTGAAAAATACCACATTCCGGACTTTCTGCCCCATCCTGGCCCCTCACATACGGCCCTCAGTTGACTTTGGTCAGCCGTGACTAGAGACCAGAGTTTCCGAAAACTTGCAAGTCTCCAGACTGTCTCGGACAAGATAATTGACTGACTTGTTGGCAAGAGTTGTTGCTGGAATGGCTTTTGGGAAGATTGTCGGAGAATGGCCTTTGGGAAGAATGTCGGAGATGTACTTTTTGCAGCTTCAAGCTCCTCTTTCTCGGGCGTGGCCAAGCACCAAAGAGCAGAAATGTCGCGTTTTTCAAGTTTCAAATTCGTTTCTGTAGTTTCAAATTAGTTTCAAAATAGTTTCAAAATCCAGTTGCAAAATCGCTGTTAAGGGAAACTGGATTTTCCTACGCGCGATTCAAAAAATGAAGGAATCTCAGAGATTCCTGGTTTTCAAAAAGCGCGGACAGAAATTGCAGTTCCCCCTTAACAGCGATTTTGCAACTGGATTTTGAAACTAATTTGAAACTGACTGGAAACTAATTTGAAACTATGGAAACAATTTGAAACTTGAAAAATACCACATTCCGGACTTTCTGCCCCATCCTGGCCCCTCACATACGGCCCTCAGTTGACTTTGGTCAGCTGTGACTAGAGACCAGAGTGTCCGAAAACTTGCAAGTCTCCAGACAGTCTCGGACTAGATAATTGACTGACTTGTTGGCAAGAGTTGTTGCTGGAATGGCTTTTGGGAAGATTGTCGGAGAATGGCCTTTGGGAAGAATGTCGGAGATGTACTTTTTGCAGCTTCAAGCTCCTCTTTCTCGGGTGTGGCCAAGCACCAAAGAGCAGAAATGTCGCGTTTTTCAAGTTTCAAATTCGTTTCTGTAGTTTCAAATTAGTTTCAAAATAGTTTCAAAATCCAGTTGCAAAATCGCTGTTAAGGGGAAACTGGATTTTCCTACGTGCGATTCAAAAAATGAAGGAATCTCAGAGATTCCTGGTTTTCAAAAAGCGCGGACAGAAATTGCAGTTCCCCCTTAACAGCGATTTTGCAACTGGATTTTGAAACTAATTTGAAACTGACTGGAAACTAATTTGAAACTATGGAAACAATTTGAAACTTGAAAAATACCACATTCCGGACTTTCTGCCCCATCCTGGCCCCTCACATACGGCCCTCAGTTGACTTTGGTCAGCCGTGACTAGAGACCAGAGTTTCCGAAAACTTGCAAGTCTCCAGACTGTCTCGGACAAGATAATTGACTGACTTGTTGGCAAGAGTTGTTGCTGGAATGGCTTTTGGGAAGATTGTCGGAGAATGGCCTTTGGGAAGAATGTCGGAGATGTACTTTTTGCAGCTTCAAGCTCCTCTTTCTCGGGTGTGGCCAAGCACCAAAGAGCAGAAATGTCGCGTTTTTCAAGTTTCAAATTCGTTTCTGTAGTTTCAAATTAGTTTCAAAATAGTTTCAAAATCCAGTTGCAAAATCGCTGTTAAGGGGAAACTGGATTTTCCTACGTGCGATTCAAAAAATGAAGGAATCTCAGAGATTCCTGGTTTTCAAAAAGCGCGGACAGAAATTGCAGTTCCCCCTTAACAGCGATTTTGCAACTGGATTTTGAAACTAATTTGAAACTGACTGGAAACTAATTTGAAACTATGGAAACAATTTGAAACTTGAAAAATACCACATTCCGGACTTTCTGCCCCATCCTGGCCCCTCACATACGGCCCTCAGTTGACTTTGGTCAGCTGTGACTAGAGACCAGAGTGTCCGAAAACTTGCAAGTCTCCAGACAGTCTCGGACTAGATAATTGACTGACTTGTTGGCAAGAGTTGTTGCTGGAATGGCTTTTGGGAAGATTGTCGGAGAATGGCCTTTGGGAAGAATGTCGGAGATGTACTTTTTGCAGCTTCAAGCTCCTCTTTCTCGGGTGTGGCCAAGCACCAAAGAGCAGAAATGTCGCGTTTTTCAAGTTTCAAATTCGTTTCTGTAGTTTCAAATTAGTTTCAAAATAGTTTCAAAATCCAGTTGCAAAATCGCTGTTAAGGGGAAACTGCATTTTCCTACGTGCGATTCAAAAAATGAAGGAATCTCAGAGATTCCTGGTTTTCAAAAAGCGCGGACAGAAATTGCAGTTCCCCCTTAACAGCGATTTTGCAACTGGATTTTGAAACTAATTTGAAACTGACTGGAAACTAATTTGAAACTATGGAAACAATTTGAAACTTGAAAAATACCACATTCCGGACTTTCTGCCCCATCCTGGCCCCTCACATACGGCCCTCAGTTGACTTTGGTCAGCCGTGACTAGAGACCAGAGTTTCCGAAAACTTGCAAGTCTCCAGACAGTCTCGTCTCGGACAAGATAATTGACTGACTTGTTGGCAAGAGTTGTTGCTGGAATGGCTTTTGGGAAGATTGTCGGAGAATGGCCTTTGGGAAGAATGTCGGAGATGTACTTTTTGCAGCTTCAAGCTCTCTCCTCTTCTCGGGTGTGGCCAAGCACCAAAGAGCAGAAATGTCGCGTTTTTCAAGTTTCAAATTCGTTTCTGTAGTTTCAAATTAGTTTCAAAATAGTTTCAAAATCCAGTTGCAAAATCGCTGTTAAGGGGAAACTGGATTTTCCTACGTGCGATTCAAAAAATGAAGGAATCTCAGAGATTCCTGGTTTTCAAAAAGCGCGGACAGAAATTGCAGTTCCCCCTTAACAGCGATTTTGCAACTGGATTTTGAAACTAATTTGAAACTGACTGGAAACTAATTTGAAACTATGGAAACAATTTGAAACTTGAAAAATACCACATTCCGGACTTTCTGCCCCATCCTGGCCCCTCACATACGGCCCTCAGTTGACTTTGGTCAGCCGTGACTAGAGACCAGAGTTTCCGAAAACTTGCAAGTCTCCAGACTGTCTCGGACAAGATAATTGACTGACTTGTTGGCAAGAGTTGTTGCTGGAATGGCTTTTGGGAAGATTGTCGGAGAATGGCCTTTGGGAAGAATGTCGGATATGTACTTTTTGCAGCTTCAAGCTCCTCTTTCTCGGGTGTGGCCAAGCACCAAAGAGCAGAAATGTCGCGTTTTTCAAGTTTCAAATTCGTTTCTGTAGTTTCAAATTAGTTTCAAAATAGGTTCAAAATCCAGTTGCAAAATCGCTGTTAAGGGGAAACTGCATTTTCCTACGTGCGATTCAAAAAATGAAGGAATCTCAGAGATTCCTGGTTTTCAAAAAGCGCGGACAGAAATTGCAGTTCCCCCTTAACAGCGATTTTGCAACTGGATTTTGAAACTAATTTGAAACTGACTGGAAACTAATTTGAAACTATGGAAACAATTTGAAACTTGAAAAATACCACATTCCGGACTTTCTGCCCCATCCTGGCCCCTCACATACGGCCCTCAGTTGACTTTGGTCAGCTGTGACTAGAGACCAGAGTGTCCGAAAACTTGCAAGTCTCCAGACAGTCTCGGACTAGATAATTGACTGACTTGTTGGCAAGAGTTGTTGCTGGAATGGCTTTTGGGAAGATTGTCGGAGAATGGCCTTTGGGAAGAATGTCGGAGATGTACTTTTTGCAGCTTCAAGCTCCTCTTTCTCGGGTGTGGCCAAGCACAAAAGAGCAGAAATGTCGCGTTTTTCAAGTTTCAAATTCGTTTCTGTAGTTTCAAATTAGTTTCAAAATAGTTTCAAAATCCAGTTGCAAAATCGCTGTTAAGGGAAAACTGCATTTTCCTACGTGCGATTCAAAAAATGAAGGAATCTCAGAGATTCCTGGTTTTCAAAAAGCGCGGACAGAAATTGCAGTTCCCCCTTAACAGCGATTTTGCAACTGGATTTTGAAACTAATTTGAAACTGACTGGCAACTAATTTGAAACTATGGAAACAATTTGAAACTTGAAAAATACCACATTCCGGACTTTCTGCCCCATCCTGGCCCCTCACATACGGCCCTCAGTTGACTTTGGTCAGCCGTGACTAGAGACCAGAGTTTCCGAAAACTTGCAAGTCTCCAGACTGTCTCGGACAAGATAATTGACTGACTTGTTGGCAAGAGTTGTTGCTGGAATGGCTTTTGGGAAGATTGTCGGAGAATGGCCTTTGGGAAGAATGTCGGAGATGTACTTTTTGCAGCTTCAAGCTCCTCTTTCTCGGGTGTGGCCAAGCACCAAACCCTGAATCTTAACATTGCCGTCCTTGCAATGCTTCGAAAGTGCATGTGTGTGAATGACCGAAATCCTGCATCACCCATATGCGCACGCAACATTGAAATTCGACGGGTGCGGGGAGCTCGATTACCAACCGTCGCGCACGTGTAACGCAGGGGGTCATGCAAGATTTTGTCCATCCACAGTCCTGTCAGGATCCCCCCTACCAAAAGACTGCGCACTGGCACGTAGATGTCGGGGGTGGCTCTTTCATTCAACCTTCAAACCTCAGCCTTGGCAAAAAAATCGCTCATTTAGCTTCAGCGAACTGTGGACGTATAGAGCCTCTGCCCTCAAATCAAAAAGTTCGATCAGAAACTTAACGACTTCTATTCATCTCTCAGGCGCTTTGGACGGCTCAGGGCCCCCTGGCAGTGCTCAGCCACCGCGACGACCCAGAGAGCGCGCGGCTCGTGGACACCCTTTCCTCAAGCAGATTTCTGGGGTGAAAAAGAGATCCCGGGGGCTTTTGGAGCATATTTGGAGGTTCATGGTACTTAGGAACCAAGTCAGAACTGTACGTTATAGCCATTTTCTCACAGCACTTAAGGGGCTTATATGCGCCCGCGTTCCGCGTACTCGACCCCCCCCCCAATGGCATCCATTCGGGGGGGGGGACAGAGAAACCTCAGCCTAAACCCCAAACCTTGAACCCTAAGCCCTAGAACCTAAACCCACCAATGAACGACAGGAGGGAGAAGGGTAAACCCGAAACCTTAGCCGCTTTAACCCTGAACCCTGAACCGTAAACTCAGCACGAACCACAGGGGGGAGAGGGGAAACCGTAAACCTACCATTACCCCAAACTTGAACCCTAATTAAACTCTAAACCCACAGTGAACCAATGGACCAGAGTGAAAATCCTGAACTCTACAGCCTAACCCGAAGGAGGCCAGCAAGAGCAGAAGCAAGGGGTGAGGGAGATAAAGAGCCCTCGCAAACGCCCAGGCAAGCCCTCTTGCCGCGGTGTTAACAAGGAGATGTCCACAAAAGAGCCCACCTATTTCTCTCCAAGCACAGCCCGGAATTTGGGAACCTCCCTCACAGCATCTGCACCCAATCGCAGTCTCAGGATCATCGTGGGTTAGTTCTGGGGAGCGCTGGCAACGGTGTTAACGACAGCACGACGGATGGCGAGGACTGCCCAGGGACCACAACAAATTTGATGGGCCTTCGTTGCGGAATTTGGAGCTGGTTGCAAAGATGCAGTGTAAGCTACTCGCCCCCTCTGGTTCTTAGTAGGGAGGGAATTCGGGGGCTTATATATTCCTGTTAAGGGATTATCTAGGGTACCTCATTCCCTCATTCCCTACTAAGAACCAGTCGCAGGCACCCTTCTGGGAGCTCGCCGGCCCCGGAATTCAAGCGCGGCACGCACGCCTGGCACATGGTCAGGGCGGCTGGGGCCTGGAGGAGCCAACCGTTTTCTGGGATGGCTTCGAATTGAACCACTTCGAGGGTTCAGGGGTTTTAGGGTTTAGTTTACAGAAAGGAAAGCTGCGGGCCCCACTTTTCCACACATTGGATTTTAAGGGTTTTCTCGTGTTTTCATGCTGTTGTCATGTTTTTTCAGAAAGAGACACACGACGGGCCTGCGTTTTGCAGGTTTATATTCCGTGCGCATTTTTGTGTGACAAAGTCGTTGTGTTAGTTTATTTCATGAGGCAGTTGTATAAGTACGAGACGAAGCTTTCCACAGGCTCCTCTCTTGGGGGTGAGGTAAACCTTTCAAGGGAATTTCTCACATGAGAGGGGAGTGGGGGGAAAGGAAAGGGAGGGGGGGTGCAAACAAAAAAGAACGGAAGGCCCCCCCCCTCCCCTTTTTTCGCCGCCCCAAAAGATGCCCCCCCCCCCCCCCCCCCACCCCCCCCCCCCACCAAACCAGTCTCCCACTCTATCCCTATACCCCTATTCTCCCTCAGAATGTTGTACAAGCTTTGCGTGTGGTAATGTCGAAAATGTTAACTGAGCTTCGCGTGTGGCAGTGCGGCACGTACTAGTTGGCAGTCGCGTATTATACTGCAAGAAAGTATACTACAAGGATACTGATAGCATGCGATATATAGAAACTACTACTACATTAATGTGCTATAGTATAAATGTTTCATTCTATACCATGGTATCTTATAATCTCGTATCTAGACGTTAAATAAACCAAACTCACAAATATTCTTATAGGGAGGCAGGAGCTAGATCTTCCAAAGCCATGAGCTCCAAATTTAGGAGTTGTAGAATGCGGGAAAACTGGGCACCACAAGTGTGGCAAATATGGAATAAGGATTGCTGGGGGACTCAAAACTTATGTGGCATTTTCCAAGGTGAGGTTGTGCCGTCACTTCTTTGTGTTGGTACCCAGAACATCCAATCCAAAAATATACATACAAATGTACATATTTATATCCTGTATAGGCTTTGGCATGCCAGTTCTTTGGTTGAGGCGGGGGGGGGGGCTGTACCCCACTTTCCACACTCGTAAATTAGATGGGCCGTCACATAATGCATTCCTCACTCCACAACTAAGTTCATATTTGTGAGGGAAAGAGACGAATGGGGTGGATCTTAGGAAGGCAGACATATTCTCATAAATAATGCAAAAAAACACGTAGAAAAGCTTGTTGTGTCCGCATATTACGGGCCTGCAATGCGCCTTACTCGTTTTTTTTCTAATGTGGTTTCGTGGTTTGTTAGGATATCGCAGTGTGATATCATATCATGAGGCACTTGTAGATAAAATGCCCAGACCCTGGCACTACCAGAACTGCCAAAGTAGAAGGAGGGCCCTCCCATTGTTTTGTGCCCCCCCCCCCCATCCCCCCCCTTCCCCCGGCAGGAAGAAGGCTTCAAGGTTTGCAACGTAGTTTCGCCTTTTAGGGTAAGTTCAGGGTCTGAAAATAGAAGAACTTCATAGACGACTAGGGCCACTGGAAAAAAATCTAGGGCAGGACGCGAGACTACTGTGAGCAAATATCTCTGACCGGACTCCTGAAATCTTAGACCTAAGCTCATGACTTAACACTCTAATGAATCTGCAAAGGTCATGGGGGCAACTTTCCAGTACTCTCCCCGATCTCCGATGGGTAAGTTAAGCCCTTAAAACCGTGGAAATCCAAAACAAATGTATCTGGCATCCAAATACCATGATACGTGAATTATTTCAAAAAAGTATGAATTCGTCATAAATTCCTATAAAACCACCGTAAAAATTGGGGCCCCCAGGGCGTTCCACTCTCTTAGTTTAGGGTTCAGTTTAGGGTTTCGGGTTTAGGGGCGGCAGAAGTGGATATGAATTGGTTGGTCTGTGCATGGGCACCCCTTCACCAGGTTTTTTCCACCGCTGAGACACTTCTGGATGGCCAACGAGCCACGGACGAACAAGGCCCCTGAAGTGCAGTCAGGAACCCTGAGACCCGAGAACCTGGTGTCCTTGCCTTTGGAAGCTTATGTGGCAGCCTTTTCTCGCTGCTTGTGTGTTTTAGGACACGTAGGTAAAGAGAGCCCCGCCCCCCCCATAAGGACAAATCTCCCCAGCTGCCTTTACGCGCGGCGTTGGCGGCGTTGAACCCATGCTGTACTCGTGCCAAGTCGTGCTTAGAACTGGGGGAGGGGGTGCGGAAGCTCTTTTTGTCAAGCAAGCTTCAAAGAGAGCCCCAAGAACTCCAAGATGTCCCTTGTTGCTCCTGACAAGGTCCCCTGCAGCTACGACATGGAAGCCTGCTGCGGCTGGGCGCGCTGACCGAACTGCGCGTGGATCTTCCTGATGCCCAGCGGCAAACGTCCAGAAGCAGTTCGCAGCAGTCGGAAGCGGAACAAGCATCCAAACACGCGTGCAAATAGTATTGAAGGAGAAAGACCTCGCTTCATTATGGAAAACGAGATGAAAAAGAGTGTTCCAAGAAAAGAATTTTGGATTCGATTCAGCGAGACGGGTAGCTGCGGCGAACACTCCGAAATGGAATTTCGCAGGCAGGGCTTGAGAGACCGCATGTAAATTACAATCATGTCTGTCAGAGCTCTCTGAGGGACAGAACAGAGGTGTCGTTGCATTGCATGTTGTGGTTGGCAGGGTAGGTGACATGCTGTGTGCAAATGGACCCATTTTCGGCATCGCAGCCTTCACATTGCAAATCAGATCCGTCTAAGCATAAGTATCACAGTGTTTACGTACGCCACTTTTCATTCCTTTTGGCCTCCGATGGGGTCTAGGGCATGCCGTGCAAGCGCACCAACTTTCTGGATAAGCAATGTCCAGATGCTGTCACGGCGTTACGCAGCAACCTCAAGGTATTTTCGGCATCCAGTCAAAGCTTTCAAGAAGATAATGTAGGGAGGGGCTGATGCCAGTTGTAGCACGAAGGAGAAGCCAAGAAGTTGATGCCGCAGCGTGATCCCCCAGCACTCTGCCAATAACCCCTCGCCAAAGTGTGCCAAAGAAGACAAAGGCCCACTTTGGTTTAGGGTTTAGGGTTTAGGGCAGAGAAGAAGGGTGTCTTAGAGCTCCGGACCGAGACCCTGAGAAGAAGAAGCGAAAGCTGAAGAGCCAAAGCAGCCAAGGAGACGCCAGACTCCGCGCGCCCAGGCAGAGCCACAAAAACCGCCCTGAGCCCTTCTTGATGCATTACTTATTCCATTTTATCAAATATTCTATTGTAAAATATAAACATGAGTTGGATTTGAATAAACATTCATGGGCCGTCTGGCTGCCGTTTGTTTTTGGGCCTTCAGCCTGGCGTTGCATGATTCCAGGGAGCTTCCCAAAAGCAGCCTTTCCAGGCCGACAAGGCCCCAACAGCAATCAGGGTTTAGGGTTTAGGGTTTAGGATTTAGAGCCCTCATAGCCGCCGAGGATTTAGAGCCCTCATAGCCGCCGAGAAGCCAAAGAATGAGAGCTTTGTGAGGCCCGGCCAAGAAAGCATCTTCCAGCAGCGGGCAATGCCCCGCGCAATGCCCCGCGGTTTCTGGGCCGCCGGTGCGGTTGCGCATCTACATGTACGCTTGCGGGGGGTTTATGCCCAGGTTTTGCTTTGAGCACTGGCCTGCGTGTATCAGAGTGTCGGCAATGGTCCACCTTGAGGGCGATACTAGTAGCTGCACGGAGTGTGCGAAGGTTGTCTCTCAGAGGTTCTTTTCTGGAGGTGGGGTTGCGCAACATGTCGATTTTCCATGAATCGTTTTTGGCTGGCATCCCTTGAGGAGCCTTATAAGACTCTTATAAGTATAGGCCTTCGAGCATGAAGGAGAGACGCCCTGACATGCGGGATTGCCCTCCCAAGACAAAGGGCAAAGCTCGGAGCCAAGGTCTTGGAGAAGAATTTCGTCCCACGTGAAGAGGAGGAGCTTCCCAACTTCTGCCAGAATCCAGCCTGGGCATTTTGGGGTCTTGGCAGTAGGGCCTTTGTGGGGTTTTGCGCTGCTCGAACAGAAGCCGGCGTTGCGAAAAGGACACCCCTTGTCTGAATCGGAAAAGCTCTGTCAGAGGAACTTGCACAGGATGGCAACGACGGGAATTAAGTCAGCCTGCGACAGCAGCCGCTTCCACATACCGTTGCTGAATCACTGGATGACACCTGAAAGCTCCAATCTTGTCATGGGATTTGAGCGGTTTGGTTGATGCCAAATTCATGCCAAAGCATGATGCCACTGTCTGTTGCTTGCTTGATTCACCCCCCCCCCCCCCACCCCCCCGCCAACCTCCAAAGAAGAGAAAGAAACGATGAAAGTCCTGAACATGAGAATAGAAAGCCCCCGCAACATCCTTCAACCTCAAGCCGCCCACCCTAAACCCGAAACCCTAAACCCTAAACCCTACCCTAAACTTACCCTAAACCCTAAACCCTAAACCCTAAACCCTAAACCCTAAACCCTAAACCCTAACCTCAAACCCGAAACCCTAAACCCGAAACCCTAAACCCGAAACTCTAAACCCTAAACCCTAAACCCTAACCCTAAACCCTAAACCAGTTCGCAGGAGCGCCCGGCGCCCGGACTCTCCGGCTCCGAACGTGCCCGCGAGTTGAATCGGGCGCTGCGCCGCCGCCGGGCCGAGAGGGTTGAGAGCAAAGTTTATGCATTGGGGTGTTCCCCCCTTATTGCTAACAGTCCTTAGTAGGGAATATAGTACCCCCCCCCCCAAAAAAAAAAACATCATCCCTGCTAAGGATTTTTAGTAAGAGGGGGAACAGCCCAACTTATACAGCTTGCAGAGTGTAGAGTTCCGGGGCTTGCGGTCGTGTGCGAGGAAGTCTTCCTGTAAGACCCGGTGCGTTGCCTGAAATTCCCTCAGCAGTCCCGTTTGTTGGTCTGGATGTTCCTCCTAAACCCTAAACCCTGAACCCTAAACCCTGAACCCCACACCTTAGGCATCATCTGCGGGCCAGCAGCTGCCCATTCGGTAGGCGAAAAGTGCCTTGCCCTTACTTAACACTTCCAGGCCGGTGGCCTTGTTTTTTGTAGCCGAGGCCTCGTAAATCGGTTCCGCAGATGTCCGAAATGCAGGCGTGCCTACTTGGTTTCTATGTCGGATTCCTTGTCAAGAGAGTTCCTGTCAAGTAGAAGGACTCCAAGGTGTTGCAGGGAGACAGCGGGCGACTGGGACCCCCACAAAGACTCAAATGTTACACTAAGTTCGTTCAGGATTCCTAGCTCATAGTTCGGCCCCTTACTTTACACATCCCTTTTCAAGATGCGCAGTGGCTTTTGAGCTGGGAAGTTGGAGATCGTGGTTAAATGCCGCCAGCCTGCTTGGGGAGCCTTGTTCCAGAGCAGGAACGATGCGCTGCGCAGGGAGACCCTCTACGAGGACGCTCACGTCTGTAGCCGACAGCCGAAAGCTCCAAGTGTTTCAGGCCCAAAGCACCTGGACTCAACTTTCATTCATGGCCGGTTACTTCATCCAGGCCACCGAAAGTAGCTAAAGTATGCAAAAAAATCCAAGCAAGAAGCTAGCAAAGGAACATTTCAGGAAGTGGCCAGCGAACAAGATGTCCTTCGGCCCAAGCTGGGCCTGCTTCATGGTATCGGGCTCCTTTTGAGTCTCTTTCCTGCGCGGGTGATGAACGGTAGGCATCTGCGCTTCGGCCGAAGTGGAGGGGCAGTGGCTGTAGCCACCACCCAGCGCATGTAGCGCAAAAGGCCCCTGCTGGTGTATTTTACGGGCTTTACGAACATCCGGGACCCTTGTATCCTTCACAGTATAGGATCCCCTTAATAAGGTATCCTTAATAGTATCGCATCCCCTTAATAAGGTACCCTATCATAGTATAGGATCCAACTATCTAAGGACCCCAATGTAAGGCACCCTATCGTAAACTCCGGGCATCCTTGGGTCTCTTGACCTGATCGCCATTCTTTCTGAGACATGGAGCAGGCCTCAGGTACTCTAGGGTAGGGTATTGTAGGGTATTTATAGGGTATTCAGGGCTTTAGGGGCGTTTGCCCTCACTATGGCGCAAGCTTGGGGGCCTCGAGGTCCACCCAGGAGGAGGCTGACGTTTTTTTGAAGTTTTCGCGGAAGGACCGTGCCGAGAAGCGGCGCCGCCTCCATCCTGTGGAATGGTCTCAGGCAGGAGGGGCAAGAATTGAAGCTGTCCGGCGGAGGGCTGCAGGATCCTTCAGGATCTCTTTAACAAACTATCAAGACGATGCTAACTTGAAGCACTCACTGCTTGTAGAGAGTGGAGCCCTGTCTCCTAGTTTGTGGCCGAGTCCGGACAAACACTCGAGATTTCATGCCATAACCCCACATTCATCTGCATCTTGAAGCCTTCTGAAGGTGCCAGAGGTCGCCAGAAAGGACCCGTGGGATACAACGATGATGTGGGCATGTGACGGATTTTGCTCTTTTTTGGTGGTGCTTCGCGCGGCTCGGGTCTCCACGGCCGCTCGTCTCGGTGTGCATGCGGCTTGCGGGATCCCCTAAACCCTAAACCCTAAACCCTAAACCCTAAACCCTAACCCCTAAACCCTAAACCCTAGTACTAGAAGCCAGGCTCCGGCCTGGACCATCTTCTTCCTGCACCCCTATTTGCGCTCACTCATCCCAAACGAATACCAGAATAATGTGGGGGGGGGGGGGTGGTCGGAAAACTTACCAATAGAATTTCTTTTTGGTCCCTTTAGAGTTATACCTGAAAGAGTGACCCCCCAAAACCCTATTCTAGTTATTCAGGCCCCTATATTGGGCGCAGCCTCTCAAGACTTGTCAGCGTGGGAGCTCGTGCATGCGCCGGGGACAGGGACCTAAAGGCTCCTCCTAAAAGGCTTCACATAGTCTCCCCAGGACGCTGATCGCCGTGCTGTGCCGCAGCTCTTGGATGAAGCCGATGAAGCTTCGCAGGAGCAGAAAGTCAGGATTCATGGGAAGTTGCTGGCTCTGCGCGTGGCCTGCAAGGCCCTGGCAGTCGGAAAAAAAGCGGTGACATCCACCCTGAATACAGCTTAAATACAACCTTCCGCTTGAACACCACCAAAAAAAGCTCTCAGGGTCAGGGGGGCTCCTTTTGTTTTTTCTGCCTTCTCCGCCAGAGGATCTCCAGGCGCCTCAGCAGCGGCGCTTCCGAGAAGCCCCCACGGCGTGATGCGGCGCGTGAGCTCCAAAAATTGGGGGCCTCAGGGTGTTGCTGGGGGGGGGGGGGGGCCATGTGGGACATGTTACATCATGTTACTCTGTTACATGTAAGAGAGCCCGCTGAAGGTGATGTTTAGATTCTTGGAAACTTGGGAAGTTCGCAGAGCAAGAGCGGCAGCAGAGCTTTGGGGCAGAGACCTGTTGGAGCCCGAAGTCGAAGCTCTGCAAGATCCGCCATGGTCCGCAAGCGTCCGCAAGCATGTGCTGATTTCCCAGCATTTTTCAGCACCAAATGCACTCACACATACCCCGACCTGTAGACTCTGTAGACTCTAGACTGCTCATCTTCCACCCCACAGACCTAAAGTATCCCGCCGCTCCAAGACCCCAGATACCGCAGCAAGTCGCCAGAAGCAGCTTGAGAGCTTAGGGAACACGACGTGTCAAGCCATGGAACCTGCGATCCGGCCGCGGCAACGCAATGGCCGAGGGAGAGGCTCCTGAAGGGCTCCTTAAGGGTTTGCGATCCGAAGGATCTGCACATGTCTGCGTCAAAGACACCAAGCACCGAAGGATCCGACCGTGACATGGGCTCGCTCCTTGAAGCCACCCGGCACTTCAATTCCGCTGGATGAGGTTCGGTGCTCGTGATTGAATATCCTTCAGGCAATGACTCAAATTCCTTTGACGGAGGAAGTCGGCTCCATCAGCTTAGGGTAGAAGGGCTCTCTCTCTCTCTCTCTCTCTTTCTCTCTCTCGCTCTCTCTCTCTCTCTCTCTCTCTCTTTGTCCATCTCCTCTCTCTCTCTCTCTCCTCTCTCTCTCTCTCTCTCTCTCTCTCTCTCTCTCTCACTGAAACCAAGGCTTTGGAGGACATCCAAACGTTGGCAGGAGCATCTTGAGGCCATCAAAACATGGGCGCAAAGCAGCCTGAGAATCCAAAGCCGAGGTTGCATGCGGCGGTCGATGCTTTCTCCCCTGGCGCTGCGCACCGCTCTTCAGACTCACGCAGCCAGCGCAGCAGCGGCAGAGAAGCGTATGTGCGTAATCGGGGGGCACACTGCTGCGCAGACCCCCTCGAAAGAAAGGAAGAAAGTAAGAAAGAAACAGAGAGAGAGGGGGGGGCCTAGAGCGTGCAGAAGCAGAAGAGGAAGGAGAAGAGGAAGAAGAAGAAGAAGAGAGAGGGACACGGAGAGGGAAATTCGAGAGGGAAGGTCAATCTCTCAAGCTCTACGGGAGGTAGGCTTTGCGGCCAGATGGGTTTTGGAGTTCCCTTTGAGGCGATAGAATTTTAAAAACCTCTGCCAGCACGTGGTGTCGGCGTCCCATCTTGCTTGAAGCCATTTGCGTTACATCCGCCTTAGGTAACGGCCCCAAAAGCTCCCCGCCTTCTGTTCTTATGAGGCTTGGGCTCGACACCCTCGTGGCCGTCCTACCTGCCGCGCTCCTGGGCAAGCTGGGCAAGGGAGCTTTCCCCGTGTCGATTCGGGCCTACTTGGTGTGAGATGCCAAGCGTTGACCCAGTTTCTCTGTGAGTTCCTATACACTTGCTTGTGTGTGTGTTTGTTTTACTACGAGGGCGAGGGGAAGAGGGGGACGGGGACGGTCAGAGATAGGCACGCGCCTGAGTTTATGCAGTGGTATATTGAGATAAAGAAGGAGAGCCTCTGGCTTTCAAAGAGTTGCCCCTCTTTTGTCTTGTCAAAACGGCTCCCTCTCACTCCCTCTCTCTCTCTCTCTCTCTCTCTCTCTCTCTCTCTCTCAGAGGCCCTGCTGCAGCAGCCGCAGCTCAAGGCTCAGCACCGTGCCTCCCTGGCGATGCGGCTGAGGCCCAAGGGGGCCCTTGGGTTCAAAAAGCATGGCCGGGGCAGAATTGCAGAGAGATGCTAAGAGGGCTTCCTTGGCTTCGGGTCATGTCTCCCAAGGATCCTTGAAGAGGATCCTTGAAGAGGGGGAGGAAGAGTGCAATCGGCTGCAGTCGAGATCTTTGGTTGCTTGCTTGGATGGCACGGGTTTGACCAACCGGGCCTTGTTCGAGAGAACTACGTCATGGCATTGTGAATTTTCCCTCGACATAGAAAGGCCGCAGCGCTCTTCTAGATGTGTTGGGAGCTCCCCAAAAGTTTCTCAAGAGAAAAAGTACACTTCTAACGGAACAAAAAACCTGGGCAGGCGCCTCCTGCACGAATGCATCTCCATCGGCCATGCCCTCGGCTTCACGGGAGAGAGCAGAGTCCAAAAAGCGCAAGGGCGCGCGCGCGCGCGCGCGCGATTTTCGTGTGGTGCCTTGTGGTATCTTGTAGAAGGCTCCTGGGCCTCTGAACAGCATCGAGGCTCTCCCAAGATTTGGTGGATTCTTCCACTTCCCGACGCAACCCGAAGGCGAGGCTAACCAAAACCACCAAGAAGCTTTGCAATGTTGCAAAAGGTGCCCCCCCCCCCCTCCCCCCCCGCCCCCCAGCAGAGGAGACTTGAGAACCTGAGGTGACGGCCCCTCGCTTCGGGCCTGGGACACTGCGCTCGCAGAGTCCACTGCGGCCACGGCTGCTGGGGACCCCAGGAGCACATGTTGGGACATGTTGGGACATGTTGGGATTCTGCAGCCATGCAGCATCGGCTTCGAAAGAGGCTTTTGAAGCAGAAACCTTGCATGGATAGAGGCTTCTGAAGCCGAAACCTTGCAAATATCCTCAAGACAGAAGACAGCAGAAGAGCCCTGGTTTGCCTTGTCCCCCCCAAAAGTACATCAAGTGCCAGCCCCTGGAGGTGCCCCGTGCTAGCATTCCGGAAGGCCCAAGCCTGAGTGACTTTGGGCGTGCACTCAGGATCGGCCGTGTCCTCCCCATCCCCCCCCCCCCCTCCTCCCCCCCCTCCCCCCCCCCCCCCCCTCCCCCCCTCCCCACCCCCCCCCCGCCCCCCCCCCCCCTCCCCCCCCCCTCCCCCCCCCCTCCCCCCCCCCCCCTCCCCCCCCCCCCCCCTCCCCCCCCCCTCCCCCCCCCCTCCCCCCCCCCTCCCCCCCCCTCCCCCCCCCCTCCCCCCCCCCTCCCCCCCCCCTCCCCCTCCCCCCCCCCACCCCCCTGCTGTCTTGAAAGATTGTCCTTAAGGCCACAGTGCTTGGGGCCCAGTCTTTGGCTTCCTCGCCTTCCTCGAGGCATTGGAAGGGGAAAGGAGGTGATTGGGGTGAAAGGATAATCTGGGGGGGGGGGGACTCTGAGAGGGGTCTCAGGGTTTTCTTGTTCTTGGAGTTGTTTTTCGGACGTTGGTGCCCGGCGTGGTTGGGGTTCTGGCGCCTAGGGCCTCGGGTGAAGAACGAAGCGCTCTCGTTTGAGATGATAGTTGCGTCAAGATTGTTAGGGGCTTGAGAGCATGTGATTGAAGCGAGGTAGAGTCCATACAGGTGTCTCGACATACCTTGTCATAGACCGAGAAATCTCCATTCCTAGATGCCCCGGCTTGCCCCAACTTCCTCAGAGGTACTGGAGTCAGGGCTTCCTGCCCAGGGCCTGGAATCTCCTTCAGAGGCATGCGCAAATCATTCGAGATGTGCAACGAATCAGCTCGGCATGAGCACTGGGATTCGTTGAAGCCGCCAGCCGCTAAGCCGCTAATAGCGCGCAACCTCTATATGCGCCCGTGCCCCGCGTTCTCGACCCATGGTATCCCGGCCCAAACCCTGCCTAAAAACACCTCGGACCACAGGGGGGGGGGGGGGGGGAGAAAACCCTCAACCTAAACCCCAAAACCCTGAGCCCTAAGCGAAAAAAACCTAAGCCCACCAATGGACCACAGAGGGGAGAAGGGTAAAAGAGAAAACTTTACCGTTTTAACCCAAAACCGTAAACCCAGCACGAACCACAGGAGGGAGAGGGTGAACCGTAAACCTACCATTACCCCAAACCTTGAACACTAAACTCTAAACCCTCAACCCTCAACCCTCAACCCTAAACCCTAAACCCTAAACCCTAAACCCTAAACCCTAAACCCTAACCCTAAACCCTAGACCCTAGACCCTAAACCCTAAACCCTAAGCCCTAAACCCTAAACCTTGACCTTCCATTACCCCAAACCTTGGGGGGGGGTGGGGGGGTGCGCCTATGTTGGCTCATATAAGGCCGTGAGCCGCAGTTTCGCTCGGCTGGCCTTCAATGCCGCCACGTGGGTGGCCTGAATCAATCAGAGGATCTAAGAGGGAAGCAGTGGGCATTCTTGCACTTTGGGAAACCCCTAAACCCCTAAACCCCTAAACCCCTAAACCCTCAAACCCCTAAACCCCTAAACCCCTAAACCCCTAAACCCCTAAACCCCTAAACCCCTAAACCCCTAAACCCTAAACCCCTAAACCCCTAAACCCCTAAACCCCTAAACCCCTAAACCCCTAAACCCGGACCGGCTTCAGGTTGCATTGCGGGCCCCAGGTAGAAATCCGCTGCTTCGTGAGATGTCTTTTTGCTTTGCCTGGATCCGTGGCTGTCCATTCATGGAGGTTTGGGCCTGGGGGAAAAACGCTGGCGTGCGGCATGGCTTACAGTTTGAGGCCTTCCTATATATATGGGACACAAGCAGAGGCAAGTAGGACCGTAGGAGAAACAAGAATCATGTGTGGACACAACGTCGGAGCATCGCTTCTTCTCAGCGGGCATGCCCCTCTTCCGGTCCAAAGGCAAAAAAAGAGAGACACAGCACGAGGCGAGTAAGTGGGGGATCCACCCCGAAGCTCAGACGACCAGGAGCCCACCAGGAGGCCGCCCTCCCTATATGCTCAGGAAGGCCATGATGTCACCTTCCACGAAGTTCACTTCCGAGACCTTGCCCGTACCGGCTGGCCTGGCCCTGAGCATCTTAAGTGACCTTTGGCACCACGGGCAGAGTCCGTCCCACATGTTTTCGCCAGCTGGGTGCACGCCACCGAGTCACGAGTCACAAGTTTGAATTCAAGGTTCAGCGTTTTCCCAGTTTCCAGCAGAAGGAGGAAAAGAGCAGACACACGACAGCCTTTGATTTGGAGCAAATCTCGATTCTTCCACCTATTTGCTTTCAAACAGGTGCAGGGCCTTGTCGCTGCTGCCCAGCATTGACCGGGCCAGGCGTCAATGCGGTCCGATGCGCATTCACGTTTCGGCCTGGTTGGGAGTCGGCGGTTTTGTTCTCTCTCTTCCTCCCTCTCTCTGCGTGATAAAGATGTGTGGGTGTGTCTACATGAATCGACCTCTCTTTCCGTTGGTCTTCTCAACCATTTTTCGGGACTGGGGATCCCCTTCCACGACCTCCTATCGGGAAACAGCACGGGCGCTAGCTGCTCGAGTCTGCTAGTGCTAAAGACTTGCTACATCTTACAACGCTCTCAGACGAAAAGCTGTTGTGAAACGAAATCGCTTTTGGCGATAGGCCCAAGTACGCTCCGCGACTATGGGCCAGGAGCGTACGGTTGGCGAGCTTCAGTGATGGAGCCATCCGGCGCAAGGCGGCCACGGCACTCCTGGAGGCCTTCGGATTTGGGATCAGAGGATTCCTGGCGACTTTGCGTCTTGTGATTCTCGGTGGTTTGGGCAAACCCTACTGAGCACCTTTTTGTTCACATTCAAGCGGCTCCGTAAATGTTCCCGTTTGTCTCCCATGTCCAGACAAGTCTGCAGACCTTGCGCTGGTCGGCTTCAACTTTCCAACCCCCTCCCTAAACCCTAAACCCTAAACCCTATGTCGGAGGGTTCAGATTTTGGGGGCGGGGGGGGGGGGGGGGCGCGGGTTGGGGTTTTGGGTTTTTTTCTTTTTTTTTTGTGTGTGTGTTTTTTTCTCTCTCTTTTTTTTGTTTTTTTGCGGGGGGGGGGGGGGGGGGACGGGGGATGGTGAATGCCCCTCATCCATGTCAAGCTTCTCTCTCAACTTTTTGCGCCCCGCATCAACTTGCCTGGACTCCAACCTCTTTCTTTCAATTCTGCCTTGGGATTCCCCCTTCTACTAGCAGTCCTTAATTGGGATTATAATCGGGGGGGCACTATCATCCCCATTATTGACTGGTAGTATAAGGGGGAACATCCCTTAAAACTCAGCTCTTAAGATCGCGCTTCCCGAACTTGGCTTGCCCCCGAGGCCTGCCGCGAAGCTTGCCCACAGGCCTGCGGAGAAGTGATTGGGGACCCCTATTGTGGGACCCTCTTGTGGGGATTCTTCTAAGTCCTTAAGTGGGCCCCTTGGGGGTGGGGGGGGGGGGGGGGGGGGGGCTGCTGTAAATGGTTTGAGAAAGAGAGCGCAGAAGCCGCGAGGACAACAGGGATCATAGAGAGACCCTGAGGTGGCCGTGCTTCCTTGCAGCTTCTGCGAGGTGGGGCTTCAGTGAAGACGCCAGTTCGCGCGTGTCTGTGCGAGAGAAGTCAGATTCCCGACTCCCAAGCTTGACAAACCCCCTAAAGTGCTGCCAGAACTGTGGGCAAGTTCACCCTGCGAAACCTGAGACAGGCTCTTAAGCTCTTGCAAAAGGCAAGAGGTATCGATCTGGCATCTCCGTCCCATGAAAGATGCACCATGGCCTTCAGAAGCCCTTGCGAGGACTTCCCGCGCATCCTCCCATCAGTCTTAGCGCCAGAAGACGTGGAGTATCTGAAGCACCTCTTCAACGAGATCGTCCAGAAGCGGTGGGATGCAGATGAGGCGAAGGCGCTGGCCCAGGGCCGACCAAGGCCCAGGAGGATGCTTGAGTACTACACGCTCTTGCGATACCTCAATGGCCCTGAGCGAGACGGGCGTCTAGAGGAGATCCTTGCAAAAATCGGCAAGGTCATAGAGAAGCAGTGGGGAAGTGGCTACGTGATCTTCAACGACTTCTGGTCCTGGCGCTCCACAACCAATGTGGCCGCTGAGCGGGTTCATATGGACTCCGACTTCTGGGTCACAAAGCAGCATGATGGCTTCAACTTGTGGATGCTCTTGGACCACAAGGACATGCCCTACTCCTTCGACATCTTTGTAAAGGAGGAGAACCCGGACCTCTACCCGCTCGTGAAGCTGCCCCGCCACAGCACCTGGCTGATTCCGGAGCAGGACCCTGAGAAGAAGAAGGGCTGTGCCGGGATACTTTTTTGGGAGCCCCTGGGTCTGTGGCCCGTGCTCTACGAGTGGAAGAGCACCCGGGTTCTGGCGATGGCCTTCGGCGTCCTATGTATGAAGTGGTGGATGACGCCGCCTGTCTGGAAACGTGCGTTGAGTGCATTGCTTCCGTTAAGTCTTTGTAAAAAGGCCCACAGTGTCGTTACCAAACATACACTCGCGCTCGTGTAACTATCTTTGTGGGGCGCCATGCATGCAATGATATAAGTTAGTGCGCGGCCTAAAGCCCTTTGTTATTAGTAGGGCTGCAAGTCAAATATAGGAGAGTCTCACACGAAGGAAGATGAAGGAAGGTGTCTGCAGAGATACCCATGTGCTTTACCTCGTTAAAGCAAAGGTCACAAGCTTGGATGCTGCGGGTCAAGAAGGCTCTTCCCTCGTGGCTTTTTCGCGGCCTGCTGTTCTTCACAGGGTGGGCGGTTCCGACAAGAGGATGGCACTAACGTAGTCGGTCATTGCTGGCTCTCTTTGAGAGATGTGAGGGCCTGAAAACACTGAATACGCAGCATCCTCGGCGACTCAACTTTAAATGGTAGAGCCCAGACAAAGCAAGACCAAGTCCTTTGGAGTAGCGCTTCGAGGGGGGGGGGCTTCTAACAACTACATGGAGGGTGTGGGTTTCTATGTAGACTTCTAGGGCCAGCTTTTCAACAAACTAGTAGCATTGAAATCTGCACCTCCCAGTCATTCAGTGTTCAGCCCCCACCCTTAAGCACCCCCAAAACCCTGAACCCCAAATCCCAAGCCCTAAAACCCCAAAACCCTAGACTGCTGTCCCTGAAAAGAAGAACTCAACCCTAAAGCCTGCTCACACAGGCAAGAGAAACCGCTCTCACCCTGACCAGGTGGACCATGAGGCTCACGGCGCTACCGGGCGGCCTGGAGCTGAAGACGAAGCGTTTCGACCTCAACGTGGGCGATGCGCCCCCTTGTCGGCCTTTAAAGGGGGGATTTAGGGTGTTCCTAATGCTAACAGTCATTAATAGGGATTCCGGGGTTATAGTAGGGGGAGGGGGACGAAATTCCCTACGAAGGACTGTTCGTATCAGGGGGAACACATCCCAAGTTGGGACGTCAGAGGATGTCATTGCAGGAGGTTTGGGGTCTCGGGCGCTTCAGGGCTTGATGGCTTTCGGGGTTTGTGAGGATGTCTGTGGATGTCTAGGCCTGTAGGGCCCAAGAGCTCGAACAACAAGGGGGATGTAGGGACTTGGGCACTTGGGATCCATTTCCTCCCAAACATTCCCGAAACGCTGTGGTTTTTCTGGGGCCGAGGCTGGTGGTGCGACAGCATGAGCTCCACGGCACTGATAAGGACCCGCTGAAGCCAGGGCAGTTCCGCCTTGCGCTCGGGCTTAAGATCATGCGCCAGGCTCCGGTGGTGCAGTGGCCTGGCAAGAGATTGAAGGATGATGATTTGGTTTTTTCTCAGAGTTTTCAAGTTTCCAGGTGGGCTGGGGCGTTCAGGCGATTCCTGCTTCGAGTTCCTGTTCAGAGCTTCAGGGTGTGCGTGATGCGCGCAGTGAGTTCTTAAGGGTCAGGGGCAACTATGCTACGCTGTGCTTCGTGTTGACCTCTGCCCAAGGTATGCTTACACGGGCCCTGCGCCCAAGTCGCGGCGACAGTACCCTGGCCTGCGGCTGCCCATCTTCCAAGCGCTCCAAGACGTCTACAAGATGAAGGGCTTAGACATGTCTCCCTTCCAGTACTCAGGCCTGGCGGGATGGTTCGCCCAAGTGTCGAAGGACCGCTTTACGAAGGCCACGTGAGGGCCAACAGATGGCACTTGTAGACTGGCTCACGCCTGAGAGGCAATCACACAGTACATAGCTCGAAGAAAGGCATCGGTTTGCTAACGACTCGCCGGCTTGCCCAGATGCACCTTAAGTGGCCGGCTAAGCGTGCGGAAAAAAGGCCCTCGATTGTCCGCCATGCCCTGTCTGACAGCTGCAGGCAATCCCTTAATTCCCCTTCTCAGCTTCTCCAAGTTTTCAGAGCTCAGGAGCACCATGGTGAAAAGGTTACCCTACCAACGCCGCGATGTCTGCGTGCAGAGAGGCAAATGATTTCGGCCCATAAGGGTTCAGAGAGCATCAGAGAGATTCAGAGAGCATTCGGGCTTTGACTGGCTTTGACTTGTGTGCCGCCATGTCGGGCTGCAAAATGGAGACTCTGAAGAATGCTCGAACTCCAAGCCACGCTCTGGAAATCAAAGGCCCCCAGAGCCCTGAACTTAAGTAACCCCAGCACTTTGCAGGCAGTCCCATGGCAGCAAAGGTGGGCTTTTTTGTGCATCTTTGGTTAGGGCCGACTGGAGGTCAGCAGGGAGGTTTCCATGGGTTCACACTGAACTGTGCAAGTACCCGGAGCTTTCGACACAGAAGGCAGCTTAAACAAGCTTATACAGTTTGGCCATCTGCTCCGATGCCGAAAGCCCCTTAAAGGTCCCTTAAAGTCACTTAAAGGCGGTGGCCTCCTCCTCGGCACTGGGCCTCTCCGCCGCCACAGCAACGGCACCCGCAGCTTCGCCGTGGAGCTGGAGGCTTTGAAGACGCTGCGTGCTGTCGATATCGGTTGTGCTATGTTCTGCTGCTGTGCTCAAGGTAAGTAAAAAAGTGGTTCGTCGCACGCACCCCGCGTGCCCAGGCTCATTGCAGGCTCCATTTCTGCGGACTTCAGGATTGGGAAGATTGTTCCCCCAACCACAAAGATTCCTGGCCAAGCCTAGCTGCCTAATTGTGCCAGACTCTTGGAGTTTAGGCCACGCCGTCTGTCGGAGTTTAGGACTTCTGAGAGCTTGAAGTGGACATTTGTGGAAGTTGGGGACTGCCATGGATTGCCTGAAAGGTCCTCTCAGCCGGTGAGCGTCTGGACATTGGCGTCACGGCACAGGATTGCAGCAGCAAGCTGTAGGAATCATTTGTCGGTGTGTTCTTTGCGTCACCGAGGGCCGCTGATCATTCATTTCCGGGTCCTTGTCTTTCCCGTGATTGCCGTAGGCTTGCCACATTGGTGCCGCGACCGATTCATTGCGTATTGAGCCATTAAATTGCACCATTTTTGGCACCTTTTACTAAAGTAAGGGTTGTCGCAGCATGCTGTCGAGCCGCATCCTGAAGTCCTGGTTGTGCTGCTTGCTTTGCTTGCTTTGCTTGCTTTGCTTGCTTTGCTTGCTTTGCTTGCTTTGCTTGCTTTGCTTGCTTTGCCTGCTCTCAAAGAGCAAGCAGCAGACCTGGCGAGAGGTTGTAATCATCACAGTTGCGAGCAGCCTCGAATCCTCCACAGCACTAGATGTCAGGTTGCATGTCAGACCCTACACACCAAACACTTCGGCCACAGCGACAAGAACAATGCCTGGCATTTCGCTCCCTGCAACGCAACTTCGGGTCCAGATATCTAGAGCTTCAAATGGTCACTTGTGCCTGTGATGCCCTAGAGTCTCTAGAGCATTCAATCGCAGATCCTGTTGAAGCTCCTTCTATCTGAAGCCTCAGTCCCTGAAGCAGACGGCCTTAGCAGCCTTAGCACATCGCACCACAGAAACTCGGTGCCGTTCTCCAGGCTCCTCACGACCACTGGGGCGGAGGCGAATTCGCCCTCGCCCGCCGCGCTCGGCCCCAGGTGGCCTACGCCGAGGACCTTGGCTGAAGAGCCCGTGCACAGGGAGGAGTCGGGTACTCGGGGTACTCAGGTTACTCAGCAAAATGCAAAGAAGTTGTCACAAAAAGGGGTTTAGGGGGGTTTAGTTGGGCTATGTTTTCAATATTGGGATCGAGATTCAAAATTACCCCGAGGATCTGCTGAGCAGCTGGATCGTGGAGTCCTCCGGGCTGCTTGTCGGCAGCCATGCAGGCCGGGGAGTATGGGGAAGGTGTTTGTTTTAATAACTGCTGCCTTTTGAGTTCTAAAAAAGGCTGCTGAGGAGTCCTTTAAAGGTTCGACGTTTGGGGAACATCAGTGCAGATACTCTGCTATGGACCGATGGACCTAGCGGAGTTGTGCATCCGGTCGCCCTTACAAAGGTTGAGTTAGGGTTTAGGGCTTAGGGCTGAGGGCTGAGGGCTGAGGGCTGAGGGCTGAGGGCTGAGGGCTGAGGGCTGAGGGCTGAGGGCTGAGGGCTGAGGGCTGAGGGTTCTTCGGACACAAGAAAGACCTGGATGCCAGCTGCTCAAGAGTGGTTATAGGCTGTGGGGAACTCTGACCCAAGCTATCCAAGCCTGAATTACGGCTAAAACCCTCTTGTGGGGCTGCTGCTTATGACGCGTGCGTTGATGGTGTCTTCATGCGGCAGAAGTTTTTGGTTTTCCCCCCAGAGCTGCAGATGTAAGCCCATGAGCCCAGAGCAGGAGTAAGGAGAAGGCAATGAAACATACGCAGCCCCACATTCTGGCAACCAAAATGAGTTGGGATGCATGAATTAGAAAGTTGTAGAGCGATGAACTGGGCCAATTGTTGGAGAGCCTGCGTAAGCTGCACGCACTTGCGACCGCTCGGAGGCCTACGTATCCGAGACGAGCGATGGAACGCTCGCAACCTTATGGCAGGCGACATTCTGAGGCACGGAAGACCGGAATCACAAAGTACGCGGGGAAAGCATGGGCCAACTGGGTGCTACTCTAAGAAGATCACCTGTCCTACACTAGCGAAGGTGTCTAATCTAATACTTGAAGAAGCACTTCTTCTTCACTGTTGAAAGCTTGTGCACAGAAGGCCGAAGAATGGAACCCAGTTGAGGCTTTCGGGGTTGGGGCGGAGCCACGGAGAACCTCAAAGAAATCTTTTTGAAAGGGGGAGAGCGAGCTGACCTCAACCCAAAGCTTTGTGCTAGGCTGACAGTCACTGAAGTTGGGGAGATTGTGCTGGACGTGTGTCTCGCCTGCCCGTGTCATGCATGTGCATGCCTTTTTGTTTCAGATCTGGGAGTTCGACGCTAGAAAGAACCTGTTCAGCATGACTGTTTGCACTGAGCAGTCCTAACAAAATTCTCGCCGACCCTAGTGCACACTGCAACGACAAGATGCAACGAGGAACGGGGACTTGCGCGCCCAGTGGCGGGCACAGATTCCTGCAGAGCAACGCGGCCGCAGTCAGCGCAGGGAAGTTGAGAAGGAAGCGCCACGTCCCAATACTCAGGCCTGCACGAAGTTGTGCACTTTCAGCTCCCTTTTAGTAGGCACACCGAAAGCTACCTGTGAAGCGCAGACCCATCCACGCTCGGCGCCCAGGACGCCCATTTTCCCGGTGGTGGACCTCTTTGAGGGAGCGCCTGTGATCCGGCTCTTTCCATAAAGCCAGGATATCTCGGCAGCTAGGCAGCTAGGCTCCATACTCTCAAGGGAGAGCATCGTTCACCGAAAGCCATTCAAAGGGGCGCAGAGTTCGACATGTCCCGCATGTTCTACATGTTCTACATCCCCCTTTCTCCGACCATGCTTAAATTAGAAGATGCTGCAAGATTTGGCTCGCAGCTCGCAGCTCCTAAGATCCCTCGACCTTCAGCTTCCGCTTTGACTTCCGCCATGTCGCTAAGCCGCGCAGCCTTCGCTTTCGGCCTGCCTTCCCTGGCTCTGCTGCATGGCTCTGTTTCATGGGAAGTTGAAACGGAGACACTAGCTTGCGACAAGACCAGTTCACAATATGATTCACAGAGCTGTCTGGGGGATAGGTGCGAAACTGCATACTAGTACTTTTATCCCCCAAGTAGATAGAATGCCCTTACAGGGACTCAAAGGGACCCCACAAAGAGGGTACCCCTATCTTCGGACACCCCCGGCATGCGACCCTTTCATCATAGAAGGCCCTTCATGGAAGGCCCCAGGCAGGCGGCCAAAGGGGATGTCCCGGCAGGGAACATGTGGAGGTCTCCTTTTAAAGAGCTCAACGAAAACAGCAGCTCTCTTAGGTCGCAAAAGCTCGCTTCTGAAAGGTTAAGAAGCAGCTGTCGGCCTCCCAGCCAGCTGGGAACCGGCCCCGCCAAAGTCTCCAAACGAAGCTTCGAGCCGCTTTGAGCTCACTTTGAAATCCAGCCTTCCAGAGCCCCCGACTGTGGCAGAAACCGTTTTCGGCTGTCCCAACCTCCGCCTAGTCCAGAGCTTTCCTCTGGGTCCCCGGCATAGGAAAACGAACGGCCCTGTGGAACATCACGATGTCTGCCAACCAGCTGCAGCGCAGTGGAACATGGGATATTCGGAGAGTTGTGGTTACTAGACAACCCCTAAACCCTAAACTCTAAACCCCAAACCTCAAACCCTAAACCCTAAACCCTAAACCAGACAAAAGAAAAGCTGAAGAAACCTTGGGCGTCAGCATCTCGGCGGACAGAGGGGCTGTGCTGAGAAATCCGCCTCAATTCTCAAGCGCCCTTTTTCCGTTAGTGTGTCTGGAAAGAGAGCCTCTACGGGCAGCCTACCCCTAAACCCTAAACCCTAAACCCTAAACCCCTGATCCCCTGAACCCCTAAACGCCTGAACCCCTAAACCCCAAAACCCCTCAACCCCTAAACCCGGGTCCCAACCTCAGGCTGCTGGCTGGCTGTTGCGAGAGGGACGGCGCGGCCTGGATTCATAGGGTTTAGGGTTTAGGGTTTAGGGTTTAGGGTTTAGGGTTTAGGGTAAGTTGCCACTTGTAGCAATGCTAAGGGGGGAGGAGAGCCATGGGCTCTTAACATGAGCCTATTACATGTAAAAAAAAGAGATACATTCACATGAACTATGCGAATTCTACTGTTTTGATATTTCCAAAAAGGAATTGGGTTACAGCCCCCCCCCCCCGACAGCGTTTGACAGTGGCAGGAAAACGCACAATCGCAAGGAAGGAAGGCTGGGCCGCGCCCTTTGCGAAGCCAACGGATACCTCGAAACCTCGTGGTGAAGGTAAGAGCCCGTATGAAGCGTGTCTTGGGCTAAGGGTACTTCGCGTTGAGCTCAGAATGAGCAAGCCCTGAGCAGCAGTCGCAAACATGAGCTTCCTGCCGCGTTGTTTTTCTTTGCGAGTGCTTCTAGCAAGCAGCTTACATCTGGCTCCACGGCGCCTGTTGCATGTGGCTTCTGTGTTGGCAATCTAAGATGGTCAACTGTGTCACCACGGAGTATGCAAATCATCAGAACATCTGCGGCGCGTCTGACTACAGCAAAGTCATGAGTGGCGAAAGCACGGTGACCGACTGCTGCCAGGCGGGGCGCATTTGCAGGAGTTTTCAGGAGGTTTGAGTAGTTTTCAGCAGTTCTGAGGAGTTGTGGAGGAGTTTTGAGTCGGGCCGGGTCTCCATGTATTCAACCCATCCAACCCTTTGTGTGAGTTTCGGGTTTCGGGCTGCTGGTTTGGAAGTTTTTGGAGCCTCCTGGCTGTTGGGTGACCTTGTACGAAATTTACTGTCGAAGGCACACATGGGCTGTTTCAGCGGGACATTTTTTGGGGAGACATGGGGGGCGGCACTGGGTTCTTGAAAGCACCCTGGACGAGGCCCTCAAGAAGATGCAGGATTGCAGCTTGGTCTTGTGAAGGTGAACAGTTCCCTTTTGTTTCTCATGTTGCATGTTGCAGTTGCTTCACAGCCAAAGTTTTCTGGGCCTCCTTTTGCTTTGGCGATTCCCTAAGCTCGGCACTTCGGCACCCAAGGCTACACGGTGTGCTCCTGTGACACCGAGTGCGCTGATCAAGACAAAGCCGTCTCCTGCTCCGCGACCGGCAAAGTCAAGGACCCCATTGCGCTCCTTGGCTAATAGCTGGGTTAGGGCTTCTCTGGAACTGGTTGTGCCTTTGTAGGTCTGCTGTGTTTTTGGCGACTTGCTCAGCCACGAGTTTCATGCTACGCTTCAGCTATCAAGCTTTGTGCGTTTGGGAGCCACTAGGTTTTGGGCGTTCATTGGCGGCCTTCTCAACAAAGATGGTGAGACTTGCGAGTCCGTGGGCGTGACATTCACTACGTGCTGAAAGCACGTTGCCGCTCTTGGGTAGCGTTCTGGCGGTAAGAATGCAGAATCAATGCAGTGCAACATCTTTGTTATAGTTGGGTAACCTTTTACATTTCTAAGGGTACTTAAACACAATAAGAAACTACATTTATAAGGGTACTTAAACACAATAAGAATCTGCATTTAAATTGTTAGCATTCTCCCAACAATGAACAAGAAATGGAGGGGCCCTTGCAATTACCGGGAAAATATCGATACTCTGTGTCAGCAGGAGGCGGGATGCTTGAAGATCCCTTTTGGCTCTCCCAACTCTCAGTAAGTTCTGTCTTTGTTTCATTTAGGGTTTAGGGTTTAGGGTTTAGGGTTTAGGGTTTAGGGTTTAGGGTTTATATAGGGTTTCAGACTATCTGCTGCATTCTTTGGAATCTGAATTGTTGTTGGTCGTTCTTGCTGTCCCTGCTTGGCTTCTGCTTCGTGATTGTGCACTCCTTCTGCCTCGCCGCTCTGGCTTCCGGCACAACGTAGAGCTGTGAATGATTATGAATGCATTCTACTTACATCCAGAGGTAGATACAAGCGGATTCAGAAAAAAGCGGTTTGAGATTCAGGGATGGAAGAAGATGCTGTTTCTGGCCTCCGCTACCTGAAATCAGACATGCCTAAGGCACCCCGTTTTACCCAACTCCAGTGCTGGACAGTCTGCAAGGTGGTCCTGGGAATGGGTGATGGGTTCAAGAATCGTGTTCTGCGGCTTGCAAGGCCTCTTGGAATTGAATCTTCAGCTTGCGGCCGTATCCCAGGAGCCAGCTTTGCATGACTGCGCACGCAGAAATCAAGCCCAAACTCGGCTTGGGACGCTTTGTCTGACGCTCTGCCACCCAGCTGCTTATCCAAGGGCACTGAAATCCGAGAACTTGGCAAAAAAGGGGGGGGGGGGTGGCTATCATAGAGAGAGAGAGAGAGAGAAGATGATGTATGACATAGTCGCCGGCACCCAGTCTTCCCCGCGATGGTGGCACCCTAACACTATGAAATGCTCTGATATGATCTTGCTGTGCAGTCGTGAACCCGCACTACAGTATAGGTAAAGTCACATGCAGTACAACAGTACAGTATCAGGTAGACGGTATAGAGTAGAGTCTTTAGTTCATGTATGGCATCTAGCAGTATATCGAGCAAGAAAGCCCCGAAGACAAGCCCGGCGTAGCTAGTCTGGACGCGCATCTCAAAGCTTATTGGCCCCAGCGTACGAAGATGAGGAGGACTTCGGCTTATCCGGCTTTCCAGTTGCACGTTTGCCCAAGTTTTGCCCAAGTGTTGCCCAAGTTTTGCTCAAGTGCGCATACGATTTGCGACTTTCTTTAGAGTTGTGAAGGGGTCAGCGTTTGCAGTTGGACAGCCCTGTGACAGCTCCATTGACAATCCAAAACCCGACATCGCCAGAGCCCCTCAGCGTTTTACCTGACGGGTTTACTTGCGTGGGTGGGTTTTCATGGTAAAAATTTGTCTTTGTGCACCTGCATGTCTCCATGCTCAAGTAAACTAATCTCTGTCAGGCCCCTCGTACTATGCAGCTGTTCCTGCTCGCAGCACGTGCGCAACCTCCTTGCAGTCACAAGCCTGGGCTTCGCAAACACAAACAAACACAGGATCAAAACACCCCTATGACACAGCAGTTCTCTGTCCAAGCTATATGAAGTAGGGGTTATATCCCCAAAAGGACACCCAATATACACTCACCAATACTAACAAGGAACCTGACACACACTCGCCAATAACAGTAATCTAAACCCTGTTTCATATGAAACTATATGAGCTGCCTAAGGCCTCCTTAATGCTTGTTTGCACGACGCCTGCTTCGCCACGGGGTCGCCATGAATCGGAGTGGATCCCTCCTTTCTTACTTGTCAACAGGCAGAATTCGGGCCTTGGGGGCTTAGGTTGTCCAGTGGGATTGCATGCTTAGGCCGGGCGGCTTTCAAGAGAGCTCACCCTCGAGATCGGCGGTTGGAGAGAGCTTTTCGAGTCCTTTGTGAGCAGACAGCGCGTACTTGTAGGAATCCCTAGGCAGTATGTCGTTTTCTCATCAAGCCAGCCTATGAAGGATCTTCGCAACTTCAACAGTATTCAAATTTTGTCTTCACTGCCTTCCCTCAGCCTGTTGCGTGGTTATAAGTTATAAACATCCGCTTTGGAATGAAGTATCCCGACGTCCCCAGTTTGGTCCTTGTGTGTCCCATCCAAAGATTTGAGCCCTTGACACAGACTCCCCGATTTCCTTGGGCATCCCTGTCGACAAACGTGGGCCGCTCGAGGAGTTGGCGTGGTTTTTGAGTGGGCATTGGGCTTCTGAGAACAGATCTTGAGGACAACGCA